GTTTTGAGATTAGAAAAGTTGGCCAGTGGGTGAGGCTGGGGTTCTGTATGGTTTGGGGTACCCCACCACTTAGTCTGTTGGGCTCTGTCATTGTAAAACTTCTGTCCTAGACAAGTTAGGTCCCCCACTAGGGTGGAGAATTTTTTTCCATGGCGGGAGATACAGTAATTCCCAATAATGGAAGTTTTAAGGAGCCAGATGCCTGTCCTGTGTCGTGGGAAGTCAACTTTCATTGAAAGGCACTCATGGGTCTAACTCCCTTGCCTCCCAGGGCCAGTGGTCTCCCATGTTGGCTCCCTCGCACACATAGCATAAAGTGACATTTAGTGTCTGGGCTATAGATTCGGCCAGTGTGAGGAACAAGTTTTTTAGTTGTAACAGAAATGGGGAATTTATCTGGCATTTCCTCATAAAAGGAGTGGAAGACCTGGTATGGGGAACTCTCATGGGTAACAGGTGGTAACTTAAGGTGTAACAGAGTCCCAGGGTCAAAGCCTTGGCCATCCATCCTTATGCAAATTATCTGTCCTTGTGTCCAATCAGATGGATTAAGTACAGTAAAATTTACAGGGTTACAGGTGCCTTGACTACAGTTAGGGGTAGTAGTGCCCTTTTGAAGGAGAGCTAAGTGTGTAGCCCCGTGCCATGTGACCCATGAAACAAAACTCCAATAAGGGTAAAAATTATAACCCTCATTATTACATCAGGAGTTGTCTCCCCGGCACATATATTTTTCATTTGATGTAGAGGTCCTTTCCCAACCCAGGCCTCCACAGCCACAGCCTGTACCTCCACATAGTTTGTCTATGGCCACACAAGCATCAAACAATAATGACACTGGTTTTTCAGGATCGAACACCTGGGTGCGAGTAACAATGTTCCCAGCGAGGTGGCCACTCCTGAGTTCTAACCATTGCTCCACAGGGTGATAAGTGGAGTTGAAGCAGGTAAATTGATTATCACACTCGATAGATGGTGTGATTGTGAGTGTATGACCCGATAACAGAGCCTGCACAGGAATAGTAAGTGTGGAACAGTAAAGTCTTAGTAACAATATGTCCTGCCCATGCAATGCGCTTGCATGGGTCACAAGAGGAGGATTTCTGGGCTGTGAAGGGAAAGCAGATCGGAGCCAGGTGAGGACTAAGAGCTTATGTAGGAGTGGAAGAGGGAGAGAGTTTACAGGAGAGGCATAGCTGCGTGGTGCCCAGTGGTATGCAAGAGTACTCATCCTTTCTTGTAGTGGAAGAGCCAGAAGTTGGTGGGCAATGTTTTATCCTTGAGAGGTGCTGTCACTGGGGGATCCTGTTGAGCTTGACAGTGGTGGGTGTTGTGAGGATGACCAGATGAGGGCCAGTCCAATGAGGTCCCAGCGGAGAGGGTCAAAGGTCCTTGAGGAGAGCAAGATCCCCTGGTTTAATTGAAATTGTTATAAGGCCCTTGGAGGGGTGGGGCAGGATCTGGTCTGCCTTCTGTCTGAGAAGTTCCCAGAGGAGGTTAAGATAAGGTAGGTAGTCAGCCAGAGGAGCAGAGTCTGTTGGAGGCAAGTTTTCTAAGAGAAATGGGTGGCCATACATTATTTAAAAGGGGCTCAAAAAGGAAGGGCTTTAGGGAGCCTGTCCCTTTAAGACCACACTTAGGTAGGTGACCTGTGGGAGACATAATTGAAACTTCACTTTAGAGACTTTGTATCCCTGGAGGCCAGAAAGTTTTAAAAAGGACTTAGTTGCCCTGAAGATAAGGGGCTCTGTGGCTCTGCATTGAAGAAGGGTGGCTTCTGGGTAGTGCCAATCTAGTAAGTCTCTAGTTAGAGCCTGTCTACAAAGATGAGGGCTGTCTTTAAATTCTTGTGGCAAAACTGACCAGGTTGGTTGCTATGAGGCATTTGTGGGACCTTTAAAGGCAAATAGAGGGTGAATGTCAGAATGGAGGTTAAACATAGCACTTTTGGATAAAAGAGAGATTTAGCTCATTATTTTACATAAACACAGAACACAGTTATAAGGTGGTCATTTAAGAGATCTTTGCATGAGCCAATACGTAAATGAACTCTGATTTAGTAGTACTTAAAGCTTGACAAGATCAACAGAAAACACAAGTCCTATAACAGCTTTTTGTAGATGTTATTCAGAGCAGAATAGTATTAAGATAACTTTGTTATTTTATAGACATAGAGAATTTGATTTTAGTTTGACATGACCTTAAAAATATGTTTTAGGCAGCTCTTAGATTATAGTTAACTTTAACTTTATCATATATTGGAGTTTATCTATAAATAAAATTGTCTTTTCTTTTTTTTTGGCTGGTGGAGGAGACTGTCCACCCCCACCATGGAGATCTGTGAAAGATAAAGCTTACCTGAAAAGTCAGGTAGCAACCAAGTAGGTGTTTGAGGCCCACCTGCTACTTGGACGGCTACCCTGGGCTCCTCCGAGTTGATCTTGAAGGGGGCCAAGGTCCTAGGGCCACATTGGTCTTCTGCCACCAGGCCCAAGAGGTCTGTGAGGCCTTCACTCTGTTGAGAGTGGGAGTGGGAAACTGACCTACCTTGCAGAGACAAAGAGGAGCAGTTGTCCTCCAGCGTCCACTCTGGCCACATTGTGGACAGGGTCCTGGCGCCGTCAAGGTGAAGGGCAGTGTTTTGCCCAGTGTTCTGTCTGGTTGCACTTGAAGCAGGCCCTGGAGGTGTGCGTTGTTGTCTGGCCTGTCTCGAAGTTGGAGGAGGTGGCCTCAGGGCAGCCGCCAAGAGCTGGGCCTTTCATTGGTTTAAAACCTCATCTCAGTTATTAAATACCTTAAATGCCATTTTCACAAGATCTCCCGGGAGGGTTTGAGGACCGCCTTCTGCCTGTTTAAGTTTTTTCTTTTTTGAATATTAGGGAAGAATTGGGAAATAAAATGAGAGTTGAGAATAATTGGGTTAGGTATTTAAATTCTTTAATATAAGAGGCTGAGTCATTAGAGAAGGAGCCAAGTCTCTTTTCAATTTGAGAGAGATCAGTCATGAAAAAGGGCACATGGACTCTGATAATGTCATCAGCTCCTGCCACCTCCCAGAGTGGTGCAGGTGGGCTGAGTGTGCTTGGGAGGAGGTATGGGAGTGGGTATGGGATGCAGGTGGGTAGGAGAAGGGTGAGGGAGTAGCAGGGGCTGAGGGCAAAGCTGGCGGTGTTGGTTCCTGAGGAGCCAATGGCTCAGGGTCAATAGTGACTACTGTAGAAGGAGAATAGGGTGGCGGCTGTTTGGGAGAGCCAGCAGGGGTGGAAGAAGGGGATCTGAGTCATGGGAGGATAAGGTGGGAGAAGAGATTGATGTAGAGTACTGGCTGGAGGAGTTGGGAGGTGGGCAGACAGAGCACGTGAGGTCACGAGTATGAGAGTTCAGTGGGAGGGAGAGACACAGACTTTGAGAGGGGGTTTGTTGCTGGCAAGGAGGATTTGAACAGCATTACAAGATTGGAGCAGGGAGAGCTGAGAGCAGAGAGAAAGGAAAGCTTGGACGAATGGAATTTTGGATCACTTGCCATTGTGGTGGCAGAAATTGTCAAGACCTACAAGTGTATGAAAATCAGAAATACCTCACCAGGACTCTCCACTGCCAAACTTAAGCCAAAACCAAGGGCAGAGCATCCCATGGGGACACAACAGAGGTGGCTAGAACTCCCAGGGCAGCCAGCCACACACTCACACCTACACTTTAAAAAAAAAAAGAAGTACCATTTTCAGGCCATTGTGAAAGATTGTCTAGCTTGTACTGAGGCCAACCGGTGTTGCAGTAATAAATCAGTTGCTTAGGTTATATATCATCTTGGAGACCAAGGGGGAGGGTGCTGAGAAGGCATCCCAGTGGATGTGTCTCATGTAGAAAGAGAGAGAGAGAGAGAGAGAGAGGCAGGTGCCTTGGTGAGTTTACTCTTCAGGCCAATATAGATCTACGTCAAGATCTAGCCTCCCTTACGTGACTCAGGCAAGGAGAGCAGAATCGTCTGGTTGCCGTTTGGTCATAGTAAGCTGGAGGGGCTGTCGAGCCCTCACCTTGGGCAGAGGAAAGGAAAGCAGAGAGGGAGAGAGAGAGAGAGAGAGAGTGAGATGGAGGGGGAAGTGTAAGTGTCACCCGAATGGGTTCCCAAGGGCGGGCGTCCCCGGCCTGGGTTGCCATCCGTAGAGAATACCCAACAGGTTAGCCAGGCGTCCCCGTGCTAAGCGGAGGGGCGCCCCAGTGGGCGTAGGAGGCGTGCCTGGCCCGGTGCCACGACTACCAGACCAGACAGAGCAGGCATCCCCGAAGAGGGTGACACTTACCAAGCCTGAAGAGTAGGTCAGGTGGACAGTAGTGGAAGAGAAAGGCTAATGATGGATGGGAAAGCCGGCAAGGCAGTAAGGTCCGAAATCCACAGTCCAGAGGCACATGGAGTCAATTCAGCAGTCTGGGTTCAGGAGAGGGCAGGACATGAAAGCCAAGGGACCAGCCCTGGGCCGGAGCGTCCTGTAACCTGTCCCGGGTTTCAGCACCAGATGTAAGGTACTGCAGAATTAAGACCACTCCACGTGTGGAAAGGGAAGATTTATTAAGATCAAGACAGCATGGCTGCCCCCCCCATCAGGGAGCAGCGACTTGGGTGAATTGGGTAGTGGGCTTTATAGGAGCGGCCAAGCCATGGGGGAGGGAGAGAGTCTCTGATCTCCGACTATCTGTGATCACTAGATGGAACAGGTCGACATGCCTGGCTAGTTGAGTAACTGGAAGTGCCTGAGGTGTTTTGCAAGCCGAGAAACAATCAGGCAGGGAGAAATACGTGGTCATAAAGCAGGTGGTCTGGTTTTAAGGTGTAGCCTCGGGTCGTTCAGCCCGCCCCAAGAATGCCAGGGACCTAACAAAGACATTACAAGAAAACTACAGGCCAAGGAGTGCTGGAGCGGTTGCCACCAAGTCCGGATCCTACTCTGCTGTGCTTCCTCGACTCCCGCCCATTGTGCATTCCTGAGTCCCTTTGGTTCCAAGTCTAGGATGGCAAGTCTCAAGAATCAGCTGATTCTGAATATTCTTAAGGAGGATCAGGTCCCCCAGAATAAGATTACAGTTGTTGGGGTTGGTGCTGTTGGCCTGGCCTATGCCATCAGTATCTTAATAAAGGACTTGGCAGATGAACTTGCTCTTGTTGATGTCATGGAAGACAAACTGAAGGGAAAGATGATGGATCGCCAACATGGCAGTCTTTTTCTTAGAACACAAAAGATTGTCTCTGGCAAAGACTACAGTGTGACTGCAAACTCCAAGCTGGTTATTATCACAGTGGGGGCACATCAGCAAGAGTGAAGAATGTCGTCTTAATTTGGTCCAGCATAATGTGAACAACTTTAAGTTCATCATTCCTAATGTTGTGAAATACAGCCCAAACTGCAAATTGCTTAGTTTCCAATCCAGTGAATATCTTTTTTTTTTCATTTTTCTTTTATTATTCATATGTGCATACAAGGCTTGGTTCATTTCTCCCCCCTGCCCCCACACCCTCCCTTACCACCCACTCCACCCCTTCCCTCTCCCCCCCAATACCCAGCAGAAACTATTTTGCCCTTATTTCTAATTTTGTTGTAGAGAGAGTATAAGCAATAATAGGAAGGAAAAAGGGTTTTTGCTGGTTGAGATAAGGATAGCTATACAGGGCATTGACTCACATTGATTTTCCTGTGCGTGGTGTTACCTTCTAGGTTAATTCTTTTTGATCTAACCTTTTCTCTAGTTCCTGTCCCCTTTTCCTATTGGCCTCAGTTGCTTTAAGGTATCTGCTTTAGTTTCTCTGCGTTAAGGGCAACAAATGCTAGCTAGTTTTTTAGGTGTCTTACCTATCCTCACCCCTCCCTTGTGTGCTCTCGCTTTTATCATGCTCATAGTCCAATCCCCTTGTTGTGTTTGCCCTTGATCTAATGTCCACATATGAGGAGAACATGATTTTTGGTTTTTGGGCCAGGCTAACCTCACTCAGAATGATGTTCTCCAATTCCATCCATTACCAGCGAATGATAACATTTCGTTCTTCTTCATGGCTGCATAAAATTCCATTGTGTATAGATACCACATTTTTCTTAATCCATTCGTCAGTGCTGGGCATCTTGGCTGTTTCCATAACTTGCTATTGTGAATAGTGCCAATAAACATGGATGTGCAGGTGCCTCTGGAGTAAACAGTCTTTTGGGTATATCCCCAAGAGTGGTATTGCTGGATCAAATGGTAATCGATGTCCATTTAAGTAGCCTCCAAATTTTTTTCCAGAGTGGTTGTACTAGTCTACATTCCCACCAACAGTGTAAGAGGGTTCCTTTTTCCCCGCATCCTCGCCAACACCTGTTGTTGGTGGTGTTGCTGATGATGGCTATTCTAACAGGGGTGAGGTGGAATCTTAGCGTGGTTTTAATTTGCATTTCCTTTATTGCTAGTCCAGTGGATATCTTGACCTATGTGGCTTTCCCAAAAAACGTGTTATTGGAAGTGGTTGCAATCTGGATTCAGCCCTGGGGAAAGGCTGATGGGGGAAAGGCTGGGATTTCACCCATTAAACTGTCATGGATGGGTCCTTGGGGAGCATGGAGACTCTAGTGTGCCTGTATGGAGTGGAGTGAATGTTGCTGGTGTCTCCCTGAAGAATCTGCACCCAGATTTAGGCACTGATGCAGATAAGGAACAGTGGAAAGTGGTTCATAAACAGGTGGTTGACAGTGCTTATGAGGTGATCAAACTGAGAGGCTGTTCATCCTGGGTCATTGGACTGTCTGTGGCAGATTTGGCAGAAAGTATAATGAAGAATCTTAGGAGGGTGCATCCAGTTTCCACCATGATTAATGGTCTCTATGGAATACAGGAAGATGTCTTCCTTAGTGTTCCTTGTAGCTTGGGACAAAATGGAATGTCAGATGTTGTGAAGATGACTCTGACTCCTGAGGAAGAGGCTTGTTTGAAGAAGAGTACAGATACACTTTGGGGGATCCAAAAAGAGGAGCAATTTTAAAGTCTTCTAGGATACCACTTCACTGTCTAGGCTATGATGGGATTTTAGTTGAAGGTTATACATGTTGTCCCTTACATCTGATCTGATTAAAGCAGTAGTATTAAGATGACCTGGGAAAAGCATCACTTTCCTAAAGTTATAAATACAACTGGTTCATAAAACCCTGTATCCTGATGCTGAATGGTACTTATCTTGTGTAGTCATAAACTGCTTAGTGAAAAATAGTTCCACCATCTCTGAGATACCACTGCCAGTGTTGCACAGGCTCCAGTTGTCCTTCAAACCAGATATGTTACTGTGTGCTATAGAACTTCACCAAATGCCTACTCCAATATTTTCTCCAACCATACATCCTGGAATCCATTGTATAAATCCATTATTGCATGTCTTGTGTATTACTGTTCTAAACGATCTTATTTTGTGTATTATATGTATCAGTGTATATTATCATATAATGTAAAAAGAAACATCTACATATGAACAGTACAACCAACTATCTTTAAGTGTTATACGAACTAAAACACCAAATAAACCTTGAACAGTGAAAAAAAAAGAAAATTACTAGAGACCAATATTCCTTATAAATATAGATGAGAAAAGTGTTTGATGTAACATTAGAATATTGAACCCAACAACATATAAAAAGATAATACATGGGCTAGAGTTATGGCTCAAGCAGTAGAGCACCTGCCTAGCAAGTGTGAAGCCCTGAGTTCAAACCCAAGAACATACAGCAAAAAAGATAACACATGATGACTATGTGGCTTATTCCCAGGAATGCAAGTATTGTTCAGCATTTGAAGATCAGTGCAATTTTACATATTAACAGACATGAAAACACACAATTATTTTAATAGATGCAAAAAAGCATTTGAAAGTGTTGTTATTATTTATGGTAAAAGCTCTCAGTAAACTTGCCATAGAAGGAAACCTCTTTAAACTGATGAAGGGTATTTAAAAAAAAAAACAAAAACAAAAAACTGTTTACCTTGGCACACCCTGCAATCCCAGCTACTTGGGAGGTTTGAGGCTAGCCTGGGCAGGAAAGGAATGCTTTCATCTCAAAAAGCAAAAGCCAAAAGCCAACCTCCCCCAAAAACAACAATGACAAACCTACAGGTGATATTATACTTAATGATGAAAGTGTCAATGCTTTCCCTCTATAAAGCAAGGCTATCTGTTTCTATTCAAAATCATACTGGACATCCTAGCCAGTGAAACTTACAAGTGATGCAATTACTTGTAGAAAATTCTAAAGAATCAACAAAATTCTCATGGAACAAAGCAATTTTTCTCAAGACCACAAGAAGCAAAGTTAATATGCAAAAATCAATATTTCTATACACTAGCAATGAGTAATTGGAAATCACAGTTTTTATAAGTACTGTTTATGATAGTATAAATATAACAATGCATGTGGAGAATCTGTGTGCTAAAAACTAAAACATACTGATGAAAGAAGTCAAAGACCTAAATAAATGGATTGGGTGGTTGGACAGCTGGATTAGATGTTTGGAAGGCTTGAAAAGATCATTGCCATTGCACCAACAAATAAATGAATACATGCATAAAATTAGTAGGGAAGGGCAAAAGAACTCAAATGACCAACAAAATAATTTTTGATAAGGGAGAACAGGTTGGAGAATTCATGTTAACTGGTTTCCAGACTTTAAATCTATAGTGATTAAGAT